TGTAGTATAGAAATTTGTAATAAGATACATAATGCGGTTATAATAAAATATTGTGCGATTATTTTCATATAATTAAAATTAATATGTATTTATTTTTTAGAAAATACAAGGGAAGCGGCGCATCCACCGCTTCCAACGACGGCACGCTACTGAACTAATCCCTATTCAGACGTTACAGACATGAAGAAAACCAGGAAAACCACGTGTCCAGCCCGTCCGGGGACACGTGGTTTTAAGTTGATACCCGCCCCCTGACGAATTAGAATGTTTTCATTTATATATTTTAAATATATAAATAATTATTAAAACTCAATTATTGTTATTATCTATATAATATAATAAAACTATTTCCTTTCCTTAAATTAAAAAATATAAATCGACAATTAAAGATTATTAGAGTAAATAAAAAATAATTTAAAAAAACTAAATTTATGACATCATTCAAAATAAAATTTAAAAATTTTTATCTAAATCACATATATTAATATTAGAACTAAAATGAATTAAATTAAACTGTTATTTATATTAAAGAAATATGAAAGTTATATTAAAAAAAAGAAAAAAAAAAAAATGGTGCAAAACATTGCGGCAATTTCATCAGCCGGAAATATATGACGTCGAATTGTCAAATAAAATAAAAATTTAACCAATCAGATTTTAAAAATTTCCAAAATGAAACTTCTTTAAAGATTAAAACGAAAGTAAAATTATTTATCGGAAAAGAATTTCCTGTTTATATTTTAAAAATATTTATCGAGTGCGGGACTTCAGTTAGGCAGACGACAATGGCCGAAGAACTCGTGGACGAATTAGGGAAAATCAACATGGAGACCAAAGCAAAGGCAGGATTATTACGATTTTAAATTTACTTTCTTTTTTATTAAAAAAGATGTTATTTTACACGCGTTCTGCCTTTCTATTAATCAAAGAAGTCAATTATTATTGTTATAAAGGAGCCAGAATGGTTGGTTGATGGTGGCTTAGTTCAATTGAAAATCTCTTTTCTCTCACTAATTTTCCAATATTTATTAATTAGATTGATCTTTTTAATTAACTATATAACTAATTAATTAATATTTTTGCTTTTTTTGATGATTAATATGTTAATTAATTAATAATTTGTAAAATTCTTAAGTAAGAGGTAAAAATCTGTGTTAATTATTCTCAATGAGAAGTTTATTTAATTTTCAGGGTGTTTTTGTTATAATTATGAAGAAAAGTTCCATTGCAGTTTGTACATAAAGATTGCATCAGACTGATCTTATTTCAGGATGTGAGTAATTGGGACGATTACGCCTTCAAACGAGGAAGTTGGGACCTTATCGGAACAGTATTACTATGCGACCCTTTGCCAAATATCTGCCTGCTTCTGGGTCGCATGCTGTCGGGAGTTGCGTTTAACTATATGGCTGGCGTAGCTTTTAGTGGCCCGCTCAACTGTTCGTGGAGTACTCGATATTATGTGGTTTTGGGACTTGACCCGTGCGGGGTGAGTGATGGCCGCCACATGCCGGCCATCACTCACCCCGCGGTCATCACTCACCCCCCGGCCATCACTCACTGGCGGTCATCACTCACCTTCCGTGAGTGATGCGGATGGTGATGTGGAACATGGAGAATAGGTGGTATATTGATCCGTGGTAGAAACTGACCTTTGGAGGCGAATATCTCGCAAAGGGTCGCTTGTATGGGTATAGTTTCGTTGGCTTTTTTGCTCGTACGGGGTATAACTGGGGTGGCAAATTCCTCAGAGTTTTCATCTTACCGATTGAGTGATGAAATCGTGTTATCAGTTTTGTAAGATTGTTCAAATATGGCTTCAATTCTCATAATTACTTCATTATACAGTTTTTTTTATTCAACTCTTTCTGTTCTAAAGTCACTAATAGGGCTTTATAAAAAATTGGCTGTAAATTTTATGTAACAGTAATGTCAAAATTGTCATTATGTAAATAAACAACTTTGCTAACCTGATATTTTAAAACCAGATAATTGCTGAATTATTGGGCTATAAAAAGGTTAAGGTACGAAGTAAGATAAGCAATCTAGACAAATTACTCTGTATCTAATTATTAACTTATCCTTTTCATAGACCGATATTTCGGCAGATTTCTTGTTTTAATTATCATTACAAATAAACAGTTGAATCGTGCTAGATATTTAATTTATTATTTTATAAATAAGCATCACTTATTAACTGACAAAAGCAAGAAGTTTGCTATAAAACTTGGGTTAAAAAAATTATGTGGAATATGGAAACATTAACGTAACAAATGATTGTTTAACGTAGGGCTATTTTTCATTTTTACTCTTTGCTTTGTGCACAAAGAGGGTCTTTTTTACACTTACTGCATTTAGCCAAACCTATAGTAGGAGTGGTTAGTAGGTGAGGAATGAGGCCAACTTATCCAGGACACTCACTGCCGATGGATTTCTTATCTGGATTCAATCCTGGATCTCCCAAGCAGCAGCCTGATGTCGTTGCTACTTTGCCCATCTAGCTGTTAACATTGATATGTATTTTTAATAGTTTATATAATTAGAAGAGTAAAATTATTAATTTAATGTTTCATTCAGTCCAATACTTTCTGTTTAAGATATGCCAAACTTTCATTTGTTATTAGATCGGACGACACTGCATATTTTTGATATGTAATGAGTTGTCGAGATTTTTTAATATTAATTTCCTCTCGCTTAAATAATCATATTTAGTAAATTTATATTATTTGCGAAAGCTGAAATTCATTTAATTACTGATGAAGTTAATCTGTAAATAAAATTTTGTTAGAAAGTCAAAAAGTAAATATAAGGAGTGATTTATATCAAGTATATAATATATCTGCATAAGTCTTTAATAATATTTATTATGTTGTTGTTATGTTAATCGAGAGATACCTGTATTGCTTGAAAATCTAAATTAACATAAGTTTATGTATAAGAAATGTTATCGTCATATTTTTTTGATTCAAAAACACAATTTTTACTTGTTTAAAATACAGATGCATTCTTAAAATTATTGGCATCCTATAATCTGTTTGCTATAACTTTGTGCATAAAATAAAGTGGTAAAGTGACCATCTCATTGCTTTACATTACAAAATGTATCTTTCCGTGTTCTCATTTTAGAAGCAACAGCAGTGTAGTTCCAGAGATCATTGTTTTTTGCAAAGTATTTCTTGCAGAAGATTGCACGAAGTTAAAGTGAATAGACTACACGTTCACAGCCCTAAACAACAATCGGCAATCATCACAAGTAGACCAATTATAACTGTTTTTGTCTATATTACTCAACATTTACACACTTCAAGTAAGCTTTGCTGGTAACAAATGTGTCCTTAAACATATTTTTAACATTTAAAATGCCTCCAAAAGATGATATGCCCACGATAAAGCATTAAATATAAATCAGAGGTTAATGTCTAGCATTTTTTATTGACATAAGCATTTGGTGTATTTTGCTTTCAGCTGCATAATGTGGGAAGATATTTTGGTTCTTCAGTTATTGATATAGAAGTAAAAAAATTTTAATTGCTTAATTTATGCTTAATAAATTGAAAGCTTTTTATGAATTCTCTATCAAAATCAATAGTAATGAGAGAGAGAGAGATCTCTCTTAAATACTTTCTGAGTATAAGGAAGTATTGGTCATAACATATTTTTTTATAGAAGTAATAAAAGAAACAAATTTATCACACTTGGATATTTTTATTGGAAGTTTTATGTAATTATTTTGAAAATTTTGTTTAGCATCTAAATCATTGTAATCTATAGACTTTGATATTGGTTAAGCTACATTTTCTAAACAAAATGATTAATCAGAATTGCAGATTTCTGCATAAGATGGCAATTATCAATAACTATATATTTTGTTTACTTTAAAATTCCATTGCATTATATCTTAAATTATTTATTGTAATGACAAAGTGTCACTACAGTAATTGACTCAGCAAATTTGATAAGATATTTAAATACAGACAGTTAAATATGAAAGCACTTGTGTTTGTTTATTCTGTTCCTTATTTTGTCTGTCTGTCTTTAATTACTTGTTGTTTTTTTATTTTTTTATTTTTGTTAATTTTGGAAGTTAGAGATTCCTTATGATGTGTAAATAAGCAAATACAGTTATCAATTGATTAATGCACTTAATTAATCCCTCGATATCCTACCGCATATATCAAAATTGCGTTAATCAAAATATGGTGCCTGAGTTAAGTAAAGATGGCTGTTAAAGCTGCATAAATTAAAACTTCTGCCATGTATATAAAGGAATTGCTGCAATTAATTTAGTGCCCTTATCAAATCTCATGTTAAGCAAAGGATATCTGTAGATTACCTTAAGGTGGTTCCACGTGTTCGGTATTTACTACTTGCTGAACGATTGCCTATTTATTCCCTTTGATTTGATATAATATAACGACGGAATGGGGATGGCAAATACTGGATATTGGTCACGAGTAAATTATTCATACTATGTGGTATTGGTCTTTTTGACTGTACTGTATATACGATAATCAATATAATTAATAAACCTTTTTAGTAAATCACAGGNTTTTTTTATTTATTTTTGTTGTTTTGGAAGTTAGAGCTTCCTTATGATGTTTAAATAAGAAAATACAGTTATCCCTTGATTAATGCACTTAATTAATCCCTTGATATCCTACCGCATATATCAAAATTGCATTAATCAAAATATGGTGCCTGTGTTAAGTAAAGATGGCTGCTAAAGCTGCATAAATTAAAACTTCTGCCATGTATATAAAGGAATTGCCGCAATTAATTTAGTGCCCTTATCAAATCTCGTGTTAAGCAAAGGATACCTGTAGATTATCTTAAGGTGGTTCCACGTGTTCGGTATTTACTACTTACTGAACGATTGCTTATTTGTTCCCTTTGATTTGACATAATATACCGATGGAGTGGAAATGGCAAATACTGGATATTGGTCACGAGTAAATTATTCATACTATGTGGTATTGGTCTTTTTGACTGTATATACAATAATCAATATAATTAATAAACCTTTTTAGTAAATCACGGGTTATAGTAATGCTATACTAAGTGCTGTACTGACTTCTAAAGTGAAAAGATAGATACAAATTATTAAATTTAGAGCAGATAGAAAATTATATAAATCATGTTTAGGAACAATCATTTTTCTTGTAACATGGTATGGTTTCCTTATAACAGTCCATTAAATAACCCAGCAGTTTGTTTGGCATATTTGCATGTCTGTTTTGTACATTCCTGTATTGGTACTATATTTGGTTAGAGCACATCTTTCACATCTATGAGGTCTGTCTGGAAAGTTTGCAAACTTTGCAAATAGAAGTTGTTTGCATTTGCCTAGCAGCCAGTCAGTTTTGTCTCCTTCAAAAAAGTCCCCTCTATGTCTATGTACCAAATTCAGCATTTCTGCCACAAAAAGAATGCGTCCTGAAATGCAATCAACATGTGTTTACAGAAATGAATGTAATGCAACAAATGAAGATAGAACAAACTGCTTTCAGCAGATAGTACATAGTAGATGCGCAGGATGCATTTGGATTCAATTATTACTTAGTGCATAATTTAAAGACTTTGTGAACTTTCCAGATAGACCTTGTAGTTGTACATATTAATAGCACAGACATAATCAAGTTGTGAAAAATTGTGTATGAATAAATCATATTTTTGTGTGTTAATTTTATTCTTCTATTTATCTGTGTGAGATGAACAAATCCGTGCATTAGAAATATTTAACAGAAGAAACTTTATACTGTATTTTTTATTCCGTACATTAAATCAGGAATTAATATCGGTTCTTTGGACTTTAACAGCATGGTTTATAATAATAATTAAACCAAATTTTTCTTATGAAAGGTAGATTTAGAAAAATACTTTTGCTTTCTGTCTTAATTTTGCAAACTATAATTATAAAAACTTANATCGGATGTGGTTGAGAATTATTAATATATATTCGTCTATAAAATTTAATCCATGAATTTTTTTTATAGTAAAATCGACTTGCCATTGTCTTTCGCTGATAATTGATGCTTTTTAACAGAATCTATAGCCCAAGATTTCTCTTGAAAAACTAATTTTGTGATCAGTGCTACCCAAACCACTACTACTACTATTTACACCATAGACTTCTATGCATACTTTTTTCCCGCGAGTTTTAATAGAATTTGTTGCTGATAAACATCAGTGGCTTAATAATAAACACAATGGCGTAGCGAACATAACTGCACCCGGGCCGCGACACTATATTGGCACCCCCTCCCCCTCCAGAAACAAATTTTGTTATTCTTGGAAACCATTAGGTTCACCTCTGCCAGTGGCGCCCGGGGCAAGCTGCCCCACCCTCTGCTGAGAGGTTTCCTTCGTTTTTGGGCGATAGGAAATTCGGAAGTTCCTCAAGGACAGGCAGTCTCAAAGGATTAACTTATGGTGTATAGCAGCCTTTAATCACGATTGTGACTGTTGTGCATGTGCAACAAAGAACTAGCGACTGACAATCAATCAGTTATTTTATTAATGCATAAAGATGTATGTCCAGCACTGCTAGGAATAGCTGAACATGGGTTACAGAGAAATAGATTGAAAATAAACAATTTCACATAAATATGTAAACGCGGACAATATATAATCTTTGAAGTGGATACAGTAAGCAATGGGCAATTAGTATATACAATGCAATAGTACATACGGTACATGGAATTTGCAAAGGAATAAAACGTGACAGTATAACCGTAGATTAGGCAAATACACGGTGGCGTGCCTTGGCATTTGATGATAGGGAAGCTGTGTTTCTATAAGAAGCCGACTTCCAGGGATAATCAGTTAATTCTTTCTTTAAATGTATTTTTAATAGATTATTTATGTGACGTACTTAATAAATAAACAAGTTCAATATAATTACCTCTGTTATTAGTTTCAATAGGTTTCCTTTGCCCTCTAAATGCCAATTCTTGCTTTGATAAAAACATATAACATCTATTTATTTAGATATAATATAACTATAAACCGTAACTATCTCGTTATAATTTTCAATATTTATTTTATATTATTTACTAATGTTAAATTCTATTCCGCTTCGATTTCCAAATTGCTTCAAATACGAAAGAATCGACGATTTTTCGTGTCTTTTG